CCCTGGGTATGCAAATCAGGCCGGCTCCGGGGCGGGGCGGACGCAGCCTCCGCTGGGCTCGCGGGTCCCCGTCGTGCTCCAACTCCGGCTGGGAGCGAGCTGAAGCCTCTCGCTCGCTGCCCCACCCCGCGGGAGGGGCAGAAGTGAGAAACTCATGGGTTGAGACTAAGGAGTTTAATAATTAAAGCAAAATAGTATTAATATAAAAACTGTAAGAAAAATAAAATAAAATTACACAATGGTCTGGGTTGGAAGGGACCTTAAAGATCATCTCATTCCCATCCCTGTGCCTTGAGCAGGTACACCTCCTAGTAGACCAGATCGCTCAAAGCCTTATCCAACCCGGTCTTGAGCACTTCCAGGGATAGGCCAGTCACAACTTCCCTGGGCAACCCATTCCAGTGCCTCATTACCCTCCCAGTAAAGAATTACTTTCAAATATTAAATCTAAATCTCTCCTCTTTTAATTTTAAAACGTTCTCTTTTTTTTTTTTTTTCATAGGCCATCTGTAAGTATTGGAAGGTATGGGGAATGAAACAGGGAGTCCAGTGGAACTGATAAAGGAGCCTGATTGAGCAGAAACTGTGGGAGAGACAGACACAGGTAAGTACTCCCTGGGCAATAAGTGACCAAGATCCACGTGAAATTTTGTGATAAGATAATGTTACCAGGTAAAGTGATATCATGAAGAATGTGTAACCAACGGGAAATTTTTACCAAAAATAGAACCCTATATAAGTGCCATACAAGTAAAGCCCTATATAAATGCCTTGTATACTCAATAAAATTGGCTTCTGATCTCAACTTGGATGGCCCTGTCTCTCATTTGGTAATATAAGGCCTCAATAAGAGCTCTCCAAAGCCTTTTCTTTTCCAGGCTCAACAACCCTAGTGTCTCAGCCTGTCTTCACAGGAGAGAGGCTCCAGCCCTCTGGTCATCTTCATAGCCTCCTCTGGATTTGCTCCAACATATCCATGTCTTTCCTGTACTGGGGACCAGAGAGATGGATTTGGCAGCAAAAGGGCAGAATTGCCTCCCCTGACCTGCTGCCCAGGATGCTTTCTGGGCTGCAACTGTTCGCTCTTAGTTCACATCCAGCTTTTCACCCATAAGAACCCCCACTTCCTTCTCAGCAGGGCTGTTCTCAGGGAGTTTTCCAGTCCATATTCTCCAGTTCTTGTGTCTGGGATTGTCCAGACCCACAGGCAGCACGGGGCACTTGGACTTGTTGAACTTCATGGGGTTCTTGTGGGCCCAAGTTTGTCCAGGTCCCCATAACTGGCTCCCTGTCCTTCAAGTGTGTCACCCGCACCACTCACCTTGCAAACTGCCTGCGGGTGCACTCACTCCCAGTGTCGGTATCATTGATAAAGACATTAAAAGCCCAAGTCAGTCCCAAGCCACAGCGTTTGTCACCCGTCTCCACCTGGATATAATGTCAATGCCCACAGCACCCTGGCCGCACCCACCCAACTAATTGCTATAATCCACCCGTGAAACCTGGACATAAATGATAGCAGAGGACCCAATTATCTCTTTTTCTAATTTGTATGCAACCTACACAATTACATCTATCTCCCTGTCACCTCCGCCAGGACTTTCCCAGCACCTTTCGCTTTGTATCTGTTTTTGAACCATGCAAGGGATAGCTCCACCGAAGTGGAGCCTCAAAAAATTTCTCGACACTCGTGCCTGTTCCTCTCCACGGAAATCTTTAGTAAAAGGCGAAAGATTTATACGATCTGAAGAGAAACCAGAGTATGCCCTGAGCTCCCCTCCCGCGGACACCGTCTCTCAGCTACTCCTGTCCAGGACATGGCGACTGCGGGGCTTGCTCTGTCCTGGACCTCCCGCCGCCCCGGTCTGTCCCTGTGGCTCGGCCATGGATCCAGCCCGCTCCCGGACGCGGCAGTCCCGGAGAACGGGGCGGAAAGCGCCACCGGGCCCGCTCCGCCGCCGCGCGGTGCACTCTGGGTACTGACAAAAATCTGAATACTAATCCGGGATATGCTAATGAGACAGGGCTGCGCACCGGGCATGCAAATGATCCAGAATACTCATGTGCATATGCTAATGAGGCTACCGCGACTTGCAGCCCGCGTGTGAGGAGGCTGTTGCGCTCGCTCAGCCCCACCGCTGGACGCCGGGCCCTGGGCCCTGTCTGGAGGCGTTCGCGGGGTGAGCCGCGGAACAGGAAGAACGGGCCTGCGGCAGAGACCCCTGACAATGCCCGCTCCGTGCCGGGCCCGCGGGCGCAGCCGTCCCCGCAGGCACAGCCGCCCCCGCAGGC